CTTGTTAAGTGCTATTCATTGGGTTCCAACTCATAGTGGCCCTGTATAGGGTTTCCTAGGAGTGGTTGGTGTACTTGAACCACCAACCTTGTGGTTCAAACTGACTTTAAAGTTCACAGCATTAACCCACAGCTCCACATCAGTGATGCTGTATAGGGTTTTGAAGGAACAGCTAGTGGATTTGAACTGTTGATGTTCACAGTTCATAGTCCAGTGCTGATTTAACAGCGTATAAGGGTAAGGGTTTACAACACTTATTTTTTTTGGAGACCCACTTCAAATATAATAGTGGCTAAATCTATAAGTAATCTTACTCTTCTCCAGGCTTTTTGCTAGATTTTTTTTTTTTTTTAATCCCCAGTCTCATGAATTTAAATGGCATTAAGGTTATAGAAGTTTGAAATCCATATATACAATAACTATTGATTCGTGTTTTACTAGATAAGTAGATTTAATCTGGTCATTTCATTCTCAGAAGATAAGAATTCGGATGAAAGAAGGGTTAGAGAATCAATGCATCCAAAGTAGTCAAATAGATTAAAAGAGTAATTAACTTATTGATTAAAATTTAGCAGTTGATAACAAACACCTCTCTGAACCCTCTTCTAGATTAAAGAGAAAATTAGAATGAATTGCAGACTATTTTTAAAGAATCCATTTTTATCAGACAGTCTCATCAGGATATTTTTTTCTTTCCATTCTTTGAGAAAACCAAAAAATAGAATGAGAAATGTAAGACAAATCTTGGAAGTAGGTTTTATTTTGTTTTTTATTTTTTTTAACTTTTTAATACCCGTGGATTGTTTTCCAAAACTTTGAAAGACTACCTTTACATACAGTAAGAAATTCCCCTCTTTTAATGTAAGCATTCTTTTATTGTCTCATGTAGTTCTCCATTGCCTTACCACTAAACTTTTTGGTGATGTAGTTTTAGTGTGTTCTGGAGTAGATTTTTATGATCTTAGAGGTTCTTTTATGCTGATCATTATCATATAGAATAATAATGTTGGAGGTAATAAAAACTAACTTTTAATAATTCACTAAGGCTACTTAATGTAAAATATGGATAATAATTGGACTTCTCATCAGAGTGGTTGTATTTTTCCAGTTTTACCTCTGCAATGTGTTTTTCCGTGAACAAGTAGAAAAGGGAGTGTGTGCTGAATACGATGAGTATTTTGTAGATTCCAAACATTGGGGACAATTGATCAGTTGGAATTTTGCCAATATGTTTGAATAGCAGTAAGTCATATGGTTCAAAACTCAAAAGTTAGGAGAAGATAGAAATTTAGTTTAAAATACACTATGTGATAATTGCAGGTAGTCCCCAGTAGTGTGGTTACCATGAACTGTGCTTAGACCATCTGTGTTTTGTTTTGTTTGTGGGGGGGGCTAGGATTAGGTTGCGACCACATAAGTTACTGATGTTATTCTCATAGCTCCTGGTGTGGTGATATAGGATCAGCACTGGACTGGAGTCACAAGGTCGTCAGCTCAAACCCATCAGCTCCTCAGAAATCCCTCTTTCAGGGTCACTATGAGTTGGAACCAACTTGACAGCACTTAACAACAACAAAAACATTCTCTTAATAACCTCCAAAGACAAATAAAGGATTTATAAGGATACTAATAATAAAAGACAATAATAATGAAAAATAAAAAGGTATTTGTCTTGTATCCAAACCAGCTTATGACGACGACACATTTTTGGAACAGAACACCGATGTAAGTCTTACACAATGCTGTCTGTGTGTTTGTATTTTTTCTGAAGTTCTTTCAGCTATGATTAACGTGTAGCTAGTTTTCCATTATCATCATGACATGCAAACTTGGTTTTTAAAGTGTCACTTCTTCAAAGCAATGTGATCTCCCTTGGGAGATGACTAGCTAGGGACAATTTTAATGGCCCCTGACTTACTTGCACTCTTTGTTTTTTTCCTTCACTCAATTAAAAAATTATCAGGGAATTTCAGACTTTAAGTAAATCCTTGGGTGTATCTATTTATAACGTTTTATATATATATATATAAATGTTTTATTGTGAATTATGTGGTAGTTTACATGGGAGAACATTAGTTTTACATTCATTCTATCGTATATCGTTTCATTGTCACTGTTACAGTCCCTTCCATGCATCATCAGCTAACCAAAGGGTATACCCTGTAAGCCTGCCCCGCTTTCCAGGTCTTCAGCATGCAGCCCCTCTCCCTCTCTGGATCTAAAGTCCCCAGCTGCTCCATCGCTCCACGTCATCGTCTCTGCCTCCATCTCAGGCATTACTGCTTCTTTGGGTAGGGTCCCACTCTCTGCTTTTTTCCATTGATGGTCCTAGGTACCTCTGCTCCTAGACTGAAAAGTTAATCACTTCCCTCCTTGCTATAAAACGTCTACCTTTACATTTCCAACCCTCACAATCACTGGTTGGCTGCCTTTTGATGGTAGGTTTGTATCCCACGCCGTCCCTTTCACAGTCTGGACCATGTAGTTTCAGAAGGCAGGGGTCTGTTGAGTGCCGCCATCCCAGGCTTGTGGAAAGGGCTATGAGAAACCTTGTGTAGAGTCCCGCAGACGCCGACACCAGCACCAAGGGTCCTCCGGGAGTCCAGGCGGGTCAGTCCTGGATGGCCGGTGTGTTTGATTTGGAGCCTGGAGCTTGCGGCTACCAGAGAGGGGTAGAAAATACAGAAAGGGGCGGCAGGTGGAGGCCCTCGGGGTTGTGTGGCCCGCTCCGCCCCCCAGCCTGGCACCTATGTGCCTTTAGCATGCTGGGCATCCTCAGAGCGAGGAGAAGCTAGCCAGCATAGTTGGCACTGCCCAGGGGACCCAGGTCGAGAGGTCGTAGGTGCAGTGCGCCGTGGGGAGGGCCCCACTGCCGGGCTCTGGTCTGTTGGGGTGAAGTGCATGCAGCCGGAGAGTCTCAAGTGTCAGCTACTGGGGAGGCTGTGCTGCTGGGGGCTGTCAGTACGTGGTGCAGTGATTCCTGTCGCGTCCGCACACTGTGTGTCTCACATACGGGGTGTCTCCCTCCGCCCAGCCTCCGGTGCCGCCAATTTGAATCTTGTAATGGGTTCCTGCAGGAGTCCTGGTGTGGCGCTGTGGGTCAATGCGCCAGACTGCAAAGCTGTTTGAACTGGAGGTCGGCGGTTCAAGCTCACATGCTGCTCCTCGGAAACCATATACAGGGTCTCTATGGGTCGGAATCGACTCCACGGCACTCAACAACACAGCAACAATGGGTTCCTGCAAGTGTGCCTTGGGAGACCCCGCAAGGGGGACGCAGTTTGAGAGGATTCTTTGGTGCTCAGGACATCTGCCCTGGTCGCCACCGAGGGCGCGAAGCTACTGGCGGGACCCCGGCTGCGGAAGCGTGCCAGTTGGGGACCGGGGGCAGTTAGGGTAGGGTATAACGTTGTTTTTGTCAGTAAGCGCTGTCAAGTCGGTTCCGACTCATAGTGACCCTGTATAGAGTTTCCAAGGAGCATCTGGTGAGTTTGAACCGCCAACCTTGTGGTTCAAACCGACCTTACAGTTCAGTGCTTTATTACACAGCGCCACACTAGGACTCCTCCTAAGAGTCACTGGTGGTGGTGGTGGCGATTATGGTTCCGACTCCTAGTGACCCTGTATAGGGTTTCTGAGGCGATAAATCTTTACAGGAGCAGAACGCCTCATCTTTCTCCTGTGGAACAGCTGGTGGTTTCCAACTGCTGACCTTAAGGTTAGCAGCCCAACTCATAAAAATCTTAATGCAGATTCATTACTCATTAGTTACAAAAACAAGATATTTAGCACTCTAATATGGAAATATTATCAAGATAAATTGTTACATGAAAATATAAACTCCTGTTCGTGGTGCTGTAGGATCAGCACAAATAGGAGTATATATTTGTGGATGTCTAACCAAAAGGTCAAGGAGCTCTGATAGCGTACTTGTTACAAATCGGACTGCTATCCTCAGGGTCAGCAGTTCGAAACTATCAGCTGCTCCGCAGGAGAAAGATGAGGCTTTCTGCTCCCGTAAAGATTTATAGCCTCGGAAACCCTGTACAGGGTTGCTATGAGTCGGGACCGACTCCACGGCACATAACAACAACAACCAAAAGGTCGACAACTGAAACCCACATGTTACTCCTCTGGGTAACATGGGTGGGGAACCTTTTTTCTGAAAAAATTTACAATATCATTCACGGGCCATACAAAATTATCAACTTAACAATTAGCCTGTTATATTTGGTCAAACATTTAATTAACACACTCCGTGGTGTGGTGCTGTGGACTAATGCATCAAAGTCATCTGAACTGCAAGGTTGATGGTTCAAGCTCACCAGCTGCTCCTTGGAAACCCTATACAGGGTCTCTATGGGTCGGAATCGACTTGACGGCACCTAACAACAACAACAATGTTATAGCTGGAACTGCGGTTACCTTGGCAGGGCCAGACCAAATAACTTTGTGTGTGTGGCACTGTGGGTTGATGAGCTGGACTGAATGTCAAAACTGCAAGATTGACAGTTCAAATTTCCCAGCTGCTGCTTGGAAGCCTTATACAGGGTCGCTGTGAGTTGGAATCAGCTTGACAGCACTTAACAATAACAACAATATACGGCTGGACATTCCCCACCCCTGCTATACAGGGTCGCTGTAAGTCGTAACAGACTACATGGCACAACAATTTGCTTGTTTCCAGAGAGTCTCTGGTAGAATACAAAACACCAATGAAAGTGGTGACGTGAATCACTGGGAATTAGGCAAGTGGGGAGTTGGGGTAGGAAAGAGACTCTGAACTGTATCTTTCTGAGATTTTCTTTTTTCTTTTTAATTTTCGTTAATAGTATGATTACCATATCAAAAATAATTTTCCCAAGAATATATCCAGATTTTAATAGAAGGTCCTTTGGCTATGCCAAAGTAGTTCACTTATTGAAAAGGATGATAATGTCCTTTAAAAATGACCACGTAAATGCCCCTAAATTGCATATTGATTCTCTTTCTTTTTTAAGGCTGGTGGAGTAGCAGGTGTCTCTGTGGACTTGATACTGTTTCCTCTGGATACCATTAAAACGAGACTACAGAGTCCCCAAGGATTTCATAGAGCTGGTGGCTTTCGTGGAATATATGCTGGCGTTCCTTCTGCTGCCATTGGATCTTTTCCTAATGGTAAGAATTATATTGATAAACCCAGGATAATAGGGTTTGTTCTCCGAGTGGTGTGGTGTCAGCCCATGTGGAACTCCTTATATGTTGTAACTTATCATGTGATTTTTTTAACTATTTATAACACCATTACTTTTGAATGAGCCAATGCAGTAGAGTCTACGCCAGTGTATTTGTAATAGAAAAACAGGAGTAATCTTTTTAGAATGATTTTTATTATCATTTCTTGTTAAAATTCTTTAAGTGTTCAGTGGTATTACAGCAATGATTGTGATCCCTTGAAGTAGTGATAGTCAACCTGGCCGACACATTACGGTCTCCTAGTAAGCTGCTGACTGTGTCTCATCCCTAGAGGCTTACTTAGTCTGGCCTTTGCCTGGGCATCAGAGTGTTGAATAGCTCCTTGGGTGATGCCACTGTGAAGCTGAGTTTGGACACTGTTACTGTGGAGATGACTGTGAAGCAGATGAACCTAGGAGGCATTAAGTTGTTGCAGGATAAGCACTGGACTTCTAGCCTCAAGATTGGCAGTCCTAGTGTGACTCTGTAGGATAAATCGCTGGACCACAAGGTCAGTTTAAACTGCAAAGTAAATTGGAAACCGTAAACAGGGTCACTATGAGTCAGAAAAAGGGGCTCTGGTAGCGTAGTGGTTACGAATGGAGCTGCTAACCTTAAGGTCAGCAGTTCGAAACTACCAGCTATTCCCGGGGATAAAGATGAGGCTTTCTGCTCCCGTAAATATTTACAACCTTGGAAACCCTGTACAGGGTAACTTTGAGTCAGGACTGACTCCACAGCACATAAACACAAATATACACAAGCACATACATGTGGACCTCACCAGATGGAATACATAGAAATCAAACTGACTACATCTGCAGAAAGAGAAGATGGAAAAGCTCCATATCATCAGTCAAAATAAGGCTAGGGGCAGACTGTGGAACAGACCATCAATTACTCATAAGCAAATTCAAACTGAAGCTGAAGAAATTGAAAACAAGTCCAGGAGAGACAAAATATGACCTTGAATATATCCCACCTGAATTT